GTGCTCAAGCTGCTACATCAGGAGGAAGCACCTCCATGACCTGACAAACGAGTTAATTGTGCGCACGGTGAAGAGGGAGCGGCAAGCGGCGGCGGAGATACTGAGCGCTCGAACGTTGGATGACGTTGCAGCGGCCCAAGCCAGGTGGTCCACGCATCCGATCACGGCACGCGGGCATCGTTCCTGTGTTGCATATTGTACTTTTTGAACCGAGAACTGGCATGGCACACGAGAGTTGTGCATCGCGCTGAGCGTTGGGTTTGACTGACACTACCATCCGATGTACAGAGCGTGTTGGAGCGGTGGAACTTCTTGGAGACGAAGTGGGGCAACGTGTTCTTGGCATGCGTGGGCGACATATTGCATGTACTCGACTCAGGGGTGCCGGTACATATGGCCACGTGTTTTATGGAGGGGAAGACCAAACCCGAAATCAGAGTGTTTGATCAGTTAGTACCCGCATGTTCCTTCTCCTTGACTCTTTGCGGTACTACGCGAGAGGATGTGTTAAAGAGCACATGGGCGGTGCGTTGCATTTGTGTGTCTGGTGCCTGATATAGCCGTGAGTTTTGAGTGAAGGGCGATACAAGGAGTGTCCTAGTGCGCATCCCGGGTGGCTCGACCTTTTTCCGCAGCGGGGCCAATTACGCAGCTTTCGAGTACCGCGGCATGATGCAGATTTTCCCGATTGTCATTGCTGACCTGTGCGTGGGGCGCTCTGCGGAGGGCCAAACAAGATGCGGAGGTCCGTGCGTTTCGATACTACGCGGTGTTTTACAAGTCACTGCTGGCCGTGGCCAAATACACGATGGTCACAATCGCTATCGCCAGGCAGCATGGCATCTCGTGAGTACGCATGCAGGCCGTGTCCATTCATACTCTCCATGGCCATCTCGATCCATGGTGTGATGGAACAATCTGCTAACGACGATGAGCTTGCTTGTATGTGTAGGCTGGTAGCTGCACTGCAAGCGGCTTTCCCGAAGCAGAAGTCGAATTGGAACTTCGTGAAGCTCCACGAAGTCGTGCACATCATCGACGGCATAGCCATGAGGGGTTTGCCGCACGAGTATTCGACGGAGCTGTGGGAGCATACACACAAGGTCGCCGTGAAAGGCCCCGTGCGCGGCAGCAACTGGAAGGACATACCACGGAGAATTGTCGAGGAGGAGACGAAGCGTGAGATCACACGGGAGATAGCGGCGCTGTCGGGCGGTGGAAGAACATACTACACGGCCCTGCGAGAGGTACAGAATGCGTTATCGTGTAGTATAAGTGGTACTTGGGGAAGGTACACATGGAATTGTCATATTCGGTAGTTGTCACGAAACAGTTTCCTCCCATGCGTGCCCACAATCCACCACTCAGGCTGTGCGCAACATGAAGCCCGCGCTAACCCGCACCAGCAAGGCCATGTGTCTCATGACGGCCGACGATCCACTGCGCATGCTGCACAGAGAGACGGTGGGAAGCGAGTTTGACAACAGCCGCGGACGGTCTTCAGACAGCTAGAGTGTTGGTGAGATATCTTGCTATGTCGAAAACCATGTGTCAGGGCTTCATGTTTGAAAAATGGTGGTGCACTATGTGTAGCCGTGGTATGTAACTGAGCGCGTTGGTACAATGTGATGTTCCACCTAATTACCCGCCCATTCAATGCAGGCACACCACGCAGTGGCCATTCCTAGCACAAAAGGGGGGTACCGTACTTGGTACCGAAGGCGATGTTCGTGAAGGTAAGCCCGAAGGAGAACTGGTTCTCCAACATTGCGTGTCAGAATCCCAACCACTAGACCATTGGGATAAAAGGGCTTGTTTCAGTAGCGGGTCAGTGCGCCCATAACCCCCCAGGCGAACGCGCCTGTAACCCTCTCCAGGATCAATCGGGCATCCACAGTGCAGATCTACTGACATTGCGATCCCGGGGGAGAGGGAGGAGGGAGAGGAAGATGAGTGGTGGTATGCGCGGTGCCTCTGTATTTTTAGGGCGGTGAACGGCAGCGGGGAGGAGGGAGCATACGTGTTCGTGAAGTATTACGAGGAGGAGGGGGTGTGTCCGCAGACGCTATGCCCCCAGCTGGTGCCTGGCAAGAAGCCAACCACGCACGGGGTCATTGAAGTTGCATCGATCGAGTGTATTGTCCACGTGTGCAAGTCGTTTACTAATCCTAGAGTGCTGCTACTCAATAGGTTTGCGCTGATCGGCTGAACAATCTTTAACTCTTGCATGAAACCGAGCAACGTTATGGTTCAAGTGGTCACACCTATACATCAAAGGTAAACCCACGGTGAGATTGAGGTGGGATATGGCCGAAGACAAGTTGTAATAGCCACGAAAAAGTTACATTTGTCACGCCAGAGTTGCGTCACAGCAACCGGCGATTTGTTGCTGCAAAGTCACTTTGGCCACCTTTCTCTGAATGTGCGCGCCGAAGGTTTCCTGAAGCTTTTCCGCAGGAAAAGCTACCGTGTACATTTTAGGCCCACAAGGAATTTCGCGATGCGTGTGCCTCTGCTGCACTGCTGCGCGCACCACGTGGCATGTGCGATGGTGCGCGCTTCGGCTTCAGTTCTCTGAGGGCCATGCTAAGCGCCTCAGCCAGTTTCCAGTGCCACGTCATCTTTGCGCGGCTCTAGCGCCGTGCGGCACACGGGGCAGGTGGTGTGCGAGAGGAGCCAGCAATCGATGCACGCCACGTGGAAGCGGTGCGCGCACGGCAGCAGGCACCGCAGCTGCTCCCCGTCCGAGAAGTCGCTCAGACACACCGCGCACTCCGTCGCACCAACCTCCTCGCACTCCGTCGCACACCCCCCGTCGCAAGCCGTCGCACCCCGCTCGTCGCACTCTGCGCTGCTCTCTGTTCCTTCCCCGCCTGCCACGCCAGGCACCATCGTCTCAGTCCTTTCCGGTCCTCCCGTCGGCATTACCATCTGCTCCGTGCTCTCTGCGCCTGTGCCCACTGCTGCGCCTACTGCTGCGCCTTGCCTTTGTTCCACTGGTGACTCTACCCGTAAGGATCCCTCGCGTCGTTCCGCTTTTCCTGCCAGCCCGTTCTCTGTGATATCAGTAACCGAGTTAACGAGCGTTTGGTTTTCGCTAAGTCGAGCCGCAGGCGCTTCATCCCGCGGCAGCGCGTACCGCACGGGCTGATACCTCGCAGCGCTGCTGCCGCGCCTCTCCTTGCCGCGCTCCCCCTTGCAACCGACGCCGGCCCTTCCGCTGCTGCTGCCCCCCGCGAGCCCTCGAAAGGTCACCACGGGGAATGTCGCCAACGTCACAGGATCTAGTCCGCGACTCTTCTCGTCGCCGTGCGACGTCGCCGTGCGACTAGCGGCAAGCCCATCGGGGAGGTCCGCGTCGTGGATGAGAATAACGAGGAGGCTACTAGGAAGGACGGAGGCGAGGACGCGGGGGCAGCGCAGCACGAGGGAGACGAGGAGGCCGACGGCGAAGAAGGCGAGCATGCACGCCGCCGTGCCCGCGATGAACGGCGCCAACCCCGCCACGTCCACACCGCCGTAGCTTGTAGGGGCCGACACGCTGGGCGGCACGCCGGGCGGCACGCTGGCCGGCAGCGCTGGCGGCGAGAGGGATTGGGTCGGCGGCGGTGGTTGCCCGGCCAGTGGGGGTTGCAGCGAGGGTGGTTTCGAGGGCACTTGGGGGTATGGGGGATGGTGCGAGGGATGAGGAGGTCGGTGAGGTTGCGTCAGAGGCGGCGACAGGGGCGGGGCGATGAGGGACGAGAGGAAGCGTGCCATGATGCATACGTAAGCTTGATTGAAAGAGGTTTTTTGCATACTAGGTAAATGTTGGTAGTAGTTGGTTTATGAACGGATGTTGGAGGGCAACTAGCGGCAATCACACATCGCTGCTTGTGGTGGGCTTGGACTGCCTTGGTGCCTGGCTGGAGAGAATTACTGTAGAACCATGTTCGGTGATTCATTCTTACTCGCGTGGCCTCGAATTACTCGAGTGGCCACCAAATTTGGTGATAATTACTGGAGTGGCCACGCCAGGGCATTTTCGAGGAGTTTTTTTCCCCGGAACATTTCCCTACAAGGGTTTGTAACCCCGAAATTCCTCGTTCGCACGAGTCTCATCCCGCGGTAGCGTTTCGTACTATTCCCCACCCGAAAAAACTAAAACCCGCTCGGAAGGCATGCCATCCGAGGGAGCCTCAACCCTAAAATTTTAGGGTTGAGGCTCCCGAATGGCATGCCGTAAGCCGTGGGGTTTATTTTTTCACCTTAGGGTAATGCGCCGGGAAAAAAAAGCCAGCGGGAATCCCCTGGCGTGGCCACTCGAGTAATTATCACCAAATTTGGTGGCCACTCGAGTAATTCGAGGCCACGCGAGCAAGGACGAATCACCGAACAGGGCACTGGAGAAATTCTCTCTGCCTGGCTGCCTACCTGCCTGTGATGCCCAAGTTGCCAGCATTGCACCAAGTGCTGCCAGGCAGCCGAATCGCATCGAGTGCGAATGTGGGAAGAAAATGTGGCGCGAAACCTTCATAACTATGCGCTATCCTCGATTGCGATGGCGACTCGAGAAATGGTGAAAGTTTGTCCCAACCCCGCTATGATCAAGCTTCCAAAACAGAAGATTTTGAATCCTAGTGGTGTATATTTATATAATATCTAGAAGATGATGCTGGCATTATTGAGTTTCATGCGCCAACCTAATCTCATCAATTTCAGTACGCATCCTGAACCAAACACTTGGCCCTGCTTCTCTCCGCATTTCGCGCTACGCACAGTGCGGCGGATTAGCGGGACGTGTTTACCCGCCTTTTCTAACCTCCGTCCTCCGCCGCCTCCACTTTCTCTCATCTCACCGTCGCAACCACATGCCACCATGCGTTGCCATTCACTGCCCCCCAGCGGCACGCGGCATTGGCGCCTATTGCCGCCCGACAAGCACCGCCAGCGCCCAACATTTTGAGCCACCTCCCACGCTGTGCCGCCCGTCGTTCTCTCGAGCCTGCAAACCCGCGGGGATGCGGGCACGGTCCCCTTCGTGCGCCGCTTCTCGCTGGAAGGCAGTCCGCTTGGGGCAGGTCAGGCGCGGTAGCACGCGCAGGCAGTGCGCGCCGCGCGTGCAGGCGGACGAGGCGGCGGAGAGAGCAAGTGAGTGGCGGAGAAAGAGAGAGGCGGAGACACGTGAGGCGGAGAGGCGTGAGAAGCAGTGGCGTGAGAAGGAGAGACGTGAGAAGGAGAGGCGTGATTTTAGGCTTGTGACTCCCTGCTAAGTGCGATGCATCTCCCTGCTAAGTGCGATGCATCTCCCTGCTAAGTGCGATGCATCTCCCTGCTAAGTGCGATGCATCTCCCTGCTAAGTGCGATGCATCTCCCTGCATGTGCGTGTGCCCGCCACACGACAGCAGTGGCAGAGGCGGATCCATTGGAGCAGTTTGTGCGCATCGACCACGGCAGGCAGTCGCGCACCGGCATGCCCGAGGTCAGCTGATGCCCGCCGGGTAAGGTGATGCCCGTCGGGTAAGGTGATGCCTGCCAGGTAAGGTGATGCCTGCCAGGTAAGGTGATGCCTGCCAGGTAAGGTGATGCCTGCCCGGGTCAGGTAGTGACAGTCACTTGACCAACAGCTGACAGTCGCGTGACCAACAGCTGGCAGTCGCTTGACCAACAGCTGACAGTCGCGTGACCAACAGCTGGCAGTCGCTTGACCAACAGCTGACAGTCGCTTGACCACTTGCATTCGCTTCTTGCTTGCTGCTCCCACCACCCACCGAAGCGCACTGCCGCTCCCCTTCTCGCTCACCCTCACAGCCTTCCGCCCAGTTCCCACTTGCTCACACAATCGCCCTCGTTCCCTCTCTACCCGTCACTTCTCCCTTCCCTCGTCCCCAACCGCCACAGCTGGTCCCCTGGACGGCAGGTGTACGGGCAAGGCAAGACGGCGCAGCAGATAACCGCCGTCCTCACTGGTCGTCCCACCAGCTCCATACTTCCTCACACAACCTCCCTCTTCCCCTCCCCTCCCTTCCTTCCCCTCCTCCCTTCCCTCGTCCCCACGCCTCCACACCCTACCCCCTGGTGGCAGGTGGTGTACGGGCAGGGCAAGACGGCGCAGCAGATGGCCGCCATCCTCACGGCCATGGCAGACAGGGCCAGCCAGGCGGGCCATCAAGGACGCAGCCGGAGGGCTGTCATGGCCACCAGGGTTGATCCCGAGGCTGCACAGCAGGTGCGGAGGGATGTTTAGGTGCGGTGGGGTGTTTAGATGCGGTGGGATGTTTAGGTGCGGTGGGATGTTTAGGTGCGGTGGGATGTTTAGGTGTGGTGGGATGTTTAGGTGCGGTGGGATGTTTAGGTGCGGTGGGATGTTTAGGTGTGGTGGTGGGTGGGTTTTGGAGTGCGAAATGCAGCATTGTGGGGGGCTATGAGGCCTCAAAGCCCTTCACAACTCCCCTCCTTGCCCGCAAGCGGGCAAGGGCAGCGCGGTGCACTGGACCGTGCCCCCTGCCTGGCTTTCCTCGCCCTATCGCCTGCTCTGCATGCTGCAATGCTGCAGCACGCTCCTGCTCATCCTGTGCCTTCGCAAGTCGTGCCTTCTGCCATGTTGCCTGCCCCCCACCTGCGCCCCACCTGCGCCCCACCTGCGGCCCACCTGCGCCCCACCTGCCCCCCACCTGCGCCCCACCTGCGGCCCACCTGCGCCCCACCTGCCCCCCACCTGCACCCCTCATGTGCTGCCCCCCAGCAGGTGTGTGCGCTGCTGCCGTCCGCCATCTACCACCCTCTGGCCCGCGTGCTGCACCTGCCGCTGCCCCTGCCGGCCACAGCAGGCGCAGAGGCGAGTGAGGCCGGCGAGAGTGGCGCACCATGTGGTTCAGGCAGTGCTGCTGCTGACAGCACTGGTGACAGTGGTGGTGGGAGAGAGGGGGCGAGCGGGCATGTGATGGTGGTGACTGCCGGCACCACTGACCTTCCTGTGGCTGAGGTGCGGTGAGTGGACCAGTGTGGGGCGGAGTGTTGGGAGGAAGTTAGGGAAAAGTGAGGACAGAAGTGAGGAGAGAAGAGAGGACAGAGGTGAGGAGAGAAGAGAGGACAGAAGTGAGGAGAGAAGAGAGGACAGAAGTGAGGAGAGAAGAGAGGTGGAAGGTGAGTGGAGAAGCGTGGGGAGGAGTAAGAAATGCATGGGCTGTCATGGTTTCGAGTAATGCGTTTTCCTCTGGTTTCCTCGCCCGCCAGCAGCTCCCACCAACCGCATGCCTGCATGCCCTTATGCTCACGTGCAGGAGGCGAGGGTGACTCTGGAGCTCATGGGTGTGCCGGTGGGTCTCGTCGCTGACGTGGGCGTGGCGGGGCTGCACCGCGTCATCACCCAGGCATGTCATGCACGCACCGCGTCATCACCCAGGCATGTCATGCACGCACCGCGTCATCACCCAGGCATGTCATGCACGCACCGCGTCATCACCCAGGCATGTCATGCACGCACCGCGTCATCACCCAGGCATGTCATGCACGCACCGCGTCATCACCCAGGCATGTCATGCACGCACCGCGTCATCACCCAGGCATGTCATGCACGCACCGCGTCATCACCCAGGCATGTCATGCACGCACCGCGTCATCACCCAGGCATGTCATGCACGCACCGCATCATCACCCAGGCATGTCATGCACGCACCGCGTCATCACCCAGGCATGTCATGCACGCACCGCATCATCACCCAGGCATGTCATGCACGCACCGCGTCATCACCCAGGCATGTCATGCACGCACCGCGTCATCACCCAGGCATGTCATGCACGCACCGCGTCATCACCCAGGCATGTCATGCACGCACCGCGTCATCACCCAGGCATGTCATGCACGCACCGCGTCATCACCCAGGCATGTCATGCACGCACCGCGTCATCACCCAGGCATGTCATGCACGCACCGCGTCATCACCCAGGCATGTCATGCACGCACCGCGTCATCACCCAGGCATGTCATGCACGCACCGCGTCATCACCCAGGCATGTCATGCACGCACCGCGTCATCACCCAGGCATGTCATGCACGCACCGCGTCATCACCCAGGCATGTCATGCACGCACCGCATCATCACCCAGGCATGTCATGCACGCACCGCGTCATCACCCAGGCATGTCATGCACGCACCGCATCATCACCCAGGCATGTCATGCACGCACCGCGTCATCACCCAGGCATGTCATGCACGCACCGCGTCATCACCCAGGCATGTCATGCACGCACCGCGTCATCACCCAGGCATGTCATGCACGCACCGCGTCATCACCCAGGCATGTCATGCACGCACCGCGTCATCACCCAGGCATGTCATGCACGCACCGCGTCATCACCCAGGCATGTCATGCACGCACCGCGTCATCACCCAGGCATGTCATGCACGCACCGCGTCATCACCCAGGCATGTCATGCATGCACCGCGTCATCACCCAGGCATGTCATGCACGCACCGCGTCATCACCCAGGCATGTCATGCACGCACCGCGTCATCACCCAGGCATGTCATGCACACACCACCTCTGCGCTCTGCTGCGCTCTGCTGCTCTCTGCTGCGCTCTGCTGCTCTCTGCTGCGCTCTGCTGCTCTCTGCTGCTCTCTGCTGCGCTCTGCTGCTCTCTGCTGCTCTCTGCTGCTCTCTGCTGCTCTCTGCTGCTCTCTGCTGCTCTCTGCTGCTCTCTGCTGCTCTCTGCTGCGCTCTGCTGCGCTCTGCTGCTCTCTGCTGCTCTCTGCTGCTCTCTGCTGCTCTCTGCTGCTCTCTGCTGCTCTCTGCTGCTCTCTGCTGCTCTCTGCTGCTCTCTGCTGCTCTCTGCTGCTCTCTGCTGCTCTCTGCTGCTCTCTGCTGCTCTCTGCTGCTCTCTGCTGCTCTCTGCTGCTCTCTGCTGCTCTCTGCTGCTCTCTGCTGCTCTCTGCTGCTCTCTGCTGCTCTCTGCTGCTCTCTGCTGCCCTCTGCTGCCCTCTGCTGCGCTCTGCTGCTCTCTGCTGCTCTCTGCTGCTCTCTGCTGCTCTCTGCTGCTCTCTGCTGCTCTCTGCTGCTCTCTGCTGCTCTCTGCTGCTCTCTGCTGCTCTCTGCTGCTCTCTGCTGCTCTCTGCTGCTCTCTGCTGCTCTCTGCTGCCCTCTGCTGCCCTCTGCTGCGCTCTGCTGCTCTCTGCTGCTCTCTGCTGCTCTCTGCTGCTCTCTGCTGCTCTCTGCTGCTCCCTGCTGCTCCGTGCTACCCTCTGCTGCTCCGTGCTACCCTCTGCTGCTCCGTGCTACCCTCTGCTGCTGCTACCCTGTCATGCCTATCAGACTCTGTGCTGTGCGGTGATATGCTTCCTGCCTGCCATGTGCTGCCATGCCACACGCACTCTCAACTTCACCCATGCCTTCACTTGGCCCTGCCTTCCACTGCCTAATCCCAACCTGTACGGACTGTTTCTTTCTGTTTGCCGCTTTACCTCCTGCCCATGCACGAGCATGAACACCCCATGCATGAACACCCCATGCATGAACACCCCATGCATGAACACCCCATGCATGAACACCCCATGCATGAACACCCCATGCATGAACACCCCATGCATGAACACCGCATGCATGATCACCCCATGCATGAACACCCCATGCATGAACACCCCATGCATGAACACCCCATGCATGAACACCCCATGCATGAACACCCCATGCATGGACACCCCATGCATGAACACCCCATGCATGAACACCCCATGCATGAACACCCCATGCATGAACACTGCATGCATGAACACCCCATGCATGAACACCCCATGCATGAACACCCCATGCATGAACACCGCATGCATGAACACCACATGCATGCACACGGGCATGCATGAGAGCAGCTCCCCAGGATCCGGCAGGCATCGGTGGTGATAGTGGTGGCGGGCATGGATGGTGCGCTGCCAAGTGTCATCTCGGGACTGGTGGACATGCCAGTCATTGCTGTGCCCACCAGGTGCGTGCAGCTCACCTCAGCATGCACCTCAGCATGCACCTCAGCATGCATGTGTGTGGCGATAGCACCATGTCAGCACCTGGCGCCGTCTTCATACTGCATTGGAGGCTGCTCTTTCATCTGCAGCCCTTCCACCCTGCATTCTCCCTCTCACTCCCTGCATTCCCCGTCTCACTTCCTGCATTCTCTTTGCCTCTAATTCCCTGCATTTTTCTTCCCACTCACTGCCTGTTTTCCTGCTCGCACTCGCTCCCGGCATTCCCTTTCTCTTACTGTGTGTCCCCCCTTTCTCACTCCCTGGAACCCTTTCACTCCCTGCAACCATCTCATTCCCTGCAATCTGCCTCTCCCTCACGCCCTGCGTTCCCCAACCACGTCCCCCAGTGTGGGGTACGGAGCATCATTTGGCGGCGTGGCAGCGCTGCTGGCAGCGCTCAACGCGTGTGCACCGGGCGTCACCGTTGTCAACATTGACAACGGTTTTGGTGCCGCTGCTGCTGCTGCACGCATTCTTTTAAGGAGACAATCGTGACCTCTACTGTAAACATGCATGTAATTCCGTGTGAGTCTGTATTGAGAGCATCAGGCGTGATTGAAGCACTCCAGTCCACAGCTAGCTGGTGTTGAAGTGGCAGTTCGGCACCATTCAGCTCGGCACCATTCAGTTCGGCACCATTCAGTTCGGCACCATTCAGCTCGGCACCATTCAGCTCGGCACCATTCAGCTCGGCACCATTCACTTCGGCACCATTCAGTTCGGCACCATTCAGTTCGGCACCATTCAGCTCGGCACCATTCAGATCGGCTCCATTCAGCTCGGCACCATTCAGTTCGGCACCATTCAGTTCGGGAGCCTCAGGGGCGTGCCAACCCAATGCAGTGCACTGGGATTTCCAAAACTGCAACTCGTCCTTATTTTGAATGAAGTCGCTCGACATGAGGACCTTAGGGTGCATTGCATTCGTACCAGACACGATGACAGAGTTTCGGAAGACACAAAGTGACTTGGTTTGTGTCTTCCGAACCTTGATTGGTCCGAATTTCATGACACTTTGTATCTTAGGAACATCCACATCGTGTCAGACCTCATGTCTGACACTAGATACAAATGTACTACCTTGAGAGTCAGTTCATCAACATTGAAGTGAACAATAGCTTGTGTGTAAGGAATTTTCTCAGCATTCCTTAGCGCGCCCTGCAACATCGCGTACAGCAGCAGCTGTTGTTCGCCCGTTATTGCTAACGGGGCTTCGCCGACTTCGCGCGCACTGTTTTGTGAAAATGAAGAACGAGAATGGGTGAACTATGAAATGAAGTGAGTACAAATAGGAAACCCTAATTGGGTTGTACCCCCTATGGGATACCCCACTATAGCCTACACAACAGCATAAGCTATATAATGTTCTGACACACCCCCATAGGCAAAGTGGGGGAGAACAAGGGGTCACAAGACCAGTCAAGCAAAGCAGAGCAAGCTCAGGGTGGATCACAAAGTCACCACACAGTCCGAGCACAACGACAAGGCCACAAGGCCAGTTCACATGCAGGAGTACACATATATATATAGAGCCAGACAAGCAAGAGCAGGTATATATATGTAACAGTACAAGCAAGGTCAAGAAGAGAGCAAGTGAGGCAAGACAGGTACAAGACCCAGCTGGGTGCAGAAGCGCTGATGGTCACAAGGCGCAAGTGCCTTGGTGAACACATCAGCAGTGTTGGCCTCAGAGGCCACGTAAGCAAGTCGCAACTGACCACGCTGCTGCAGCTCACGAGCAAGAAAGTAACGGAGAGCAATGTGCTTCGTTCTGTGCTCCAAGCGCTGCTCTCGACACAAGGCCAGCATGGCCTTGTTGTCTACGTACAGCACTGGAGGAGAACGAGGCGGCTCTCCAAGGTCAGTCAGCAGGTAGGTGAGCCAGCGAAGCTCCTGTGCAGCCATGGCCCCGGCGTAGATCTCAGCCTCACAACTGGAGCTGAGAACAGAGGACGAGCGAGTAGCCCGCCACGAGACAGAGCCGGAACCAAGACTGAAGGTGTAACCCTGCGACGACCGCTGTGTAGCCTGGTCGTCTGCCCAAGAAGCGTCCGCGTGCCCAGTGAGGACCACTGGACTCCGCCCTCCAAGCACTAGCCCCATGCCCGACGTACTGCACAAGTAGCGCAACACCCTCTTAGCTGCAGCCATGTGCTCTGGTCGGTGTCTCCCAGGAGCAACATAGCGTGCAAGAATGCTAAGAGGGTATGCAAGGTCAGGTCGTGTGCAGGTCATCAGGTACATGAGGCAGCCAACAAGCTCTGGGTACGGGCCACTCGACTCTACGGACTCATCCGAAGGCAGAGCTGAGAGCGAGTGGCGAGTAGACAGAGGAGTGGCCTGAGGCGAGGAGTACGTGAAGCCGAAGCGCTGAAGGACCTGCTGCACCATGTGTGACTGAGTCAAGGTAATGGTGCGGCGTGCTCTGTCCCGAGTGATCTGCAAGCCAAGGTAGCTGCGCAGTTCACCCAGGTCTGTGCACGTGTGTCTCTTCTGCAGCTCGGACTTCACGTAGGCTAGTCCAGCAGTGTCAGCTGTGGCAAAGACCAAGTCGTCGACGTACACGAGGACGTAGAACGGCGGCAAAGAAGTGTCGGTGCGCAGAAACAACGACGGGTCAGCAGTAGAGGGAGCAAACCCAAGAGCCGCAAGCGTAGTCCTCAGTGTGTCGTGCCACTCACGCGGTGCCTGGCGGAGACCGTAGACTGGCCGTCGGAGGCTCCACTGGGTGCCAGGAGGAAAAGTCCCAGTGAAGCCAGGTGGACGGCGCAGCCAGATCTCCTCGTGCAGGCTACCCTGCAAGAAAGCAGTACTGAAGTCAAGAGAGTGGAGCTCGTAGTCGCGCTGAGCGGCTATGTGCAGCAGCACCCGAAGAGTGGTCATCTTCGGGGTGGGAGAGAAGGTCTGAAAGTAGTCAACTCCCTGCCGCTGACTGAAGCCACGAGCGACGTACCGCGCCTTGAAGACAGGTGGAGAGCCCGGCGGCCGCTTCACCCTGAAGATCCACATGCCACTGACGATGTTCGCCCCAGGAGGGGGAACCGCGTCAACGTAGGTGCCTGTGGACTTCCAGGACGCCATCTCTGCATCCATAGCTGCCTGCCACTGAGAGGAGTAGGGACCCTCTACGGCCTCCGCGTAAGAGCGCGGAGTCGGGATGTCTAGTGCATCCGGGTCTCCCTCAGGGGCAAGTAGTACGGACGCGAGATGAGGTGAAGCAGCAGCCAGACACCGGAACTCCTCCTGCCTGTCCTCAAGGACGTCCGTGCCAAGAGCACACTCACCCCCGACGGACGGAGGACAGACAGACGCAGACTCAGCAACAAGACCGGCAGCGTAGTCTAGACGACAGCGAGCAGCAAAGTCGACAAGCTCAGCAACAAGCGCAGACGCAGCAGTGGACTCAAAAGAGGGGTCAGTGACGACAGTAGCAAGGAGACGTGTGACAGCAGGACTGGCAGCACGAAGAGAGTCCGACTCCGGATCAGGAAGAGCAGGAAGAGAGGACTCAGGAGGAGAAGGCAAAGGGGCACGCAGAGGAGCAGTGGACGGACGCAGAGACATCCGGTGCGTGCCAGGGACAGGAGGAGGACGCTGACGCGAACCACGACCACTAGTGCGAGCAGCACGGACAGGCGACGCAGGGCGAGACGCAGGCTCACGACGCTCAGCAAGACCTCCAGTAGGACCAGTGTAGGGAGAAGGAGCGGGCAGTGGGGAGGCCGGCTGTAACTGGAACTGTGACAGGACAGGCTGTGGACACTCTAAGGGAGGAGGAGGACCAGTAGAAGGCGGGAGACCAAGAACCTGCTGAAGGAGCGGAACGAAGTACGGTCTAGGCCGCGCGGCGACTCCAGACACAGCAGGGACAGCACCAGTACCCCAAGCGGGAGCACCAGCGCCAGCAGCACCTCCAGCTCCAGGACCTCCAGCAGCACCAGTAGCACCCCCAGCAGGACCGCCTCCAGGACCGACAGCAGTAGCCTCAGCGCCAACACCCTCAGCAGCTCCAGCTCCAGCACCTCCGGGACCCGCGGCACCAGCACCCTCAGCAGTCGAAGAACCTCCAGCTCCAGCAGCACGCCTCCAGCGCCGGGCAAACCACTCGCGCAGCTCCTGTGGAGAGAGGGGCTCCCGCCGAGGCGAAGCACCCGGAGAACCGCCAGGTCCCGCACCGCCAGACGCCACAAGGGGAGGTCCAGTGGCCGCAGGCTCCGCAGCTCCAGGCTCAGCACCTCCAGACGCAGCACCCCCTGGCTCAGCACCCCCAGTAGCAGCACCCCACGGCTCAGCACCCCCAGACTCCGCACCCCCAGGCTCAGCACCCCCAGTCGCAGCACCCCCAGGCTCAGCACTCCCAGACTCCGCACCCCCAGGCTCAGCACCCCCAGGCTCAGCACCCGCAGCAGGACCAGAGTCACCAGCAACCTCGACCGGCTCGACTGCGTCTACCTGGGACACACCTGAAGGGGCAGGACCCTGAGGGGGAAGGGGGTCTACCGGGGGGGGACCTGGCACAAGGAAGTGCGGTGGCGGGGGGAGGGAAGGAGTGCGGTAGGGGAAGAGGCGGTAGAAGGGGACTGACTCGTCGAACGTGACGTCCTGGGAGGACAGAACACGACGAGAGGAGGGGTGGTAGAACTGCCACCCTGGAGCGTCAGGGGGGAAGCCGAGGAAGACACAGGGAGCAGCACGAGGGGACAGCTTGTCCGCAGACAAGTCACGGACAAACGCCCGAGATCCCCAGACACGGAACGCAGACGCATCGCCGACCTTCCCCGTCCACAGCAGAGCTGGAGAGGTCTCCGGCCGGGAGACCCTGGGGTGAAGGTTGATCTGATGCGCCGCGTACCGAACCGCAAACGGCCACAGAAAATGGGGGGGAGCCGCATGCATCATGGACGTACGAGCGACGTCCATGACCATGCCAATGCGGCGCTCAGCAATCCCATTTTGCTGTGGAGAGTCCGGAAGCGTAAAGGTCTGGCGGATGCCTCGTGTACGACAGTAGGCTCGCAGAAGGCCAGAGGAGAACTCTCCACCTCGGTCAGAGTGCAGACGCAGAACAGGAAAGTCCGAGCCGAAGCTCCTCCTGAGCTGGAGACGAGCTGCGCGGATCCAGTCGATCAACACCTCAGTGACATCACCCTTGCTGCGCAAGGGGAAGACTGTGGTGTAACGCGAGTAGTCGTCAACCACCAGCAGGAAGTAGCGCTCGTGACCCTGCCCACGGACGCGGGCGGGGCCCCACACGTCCATGTGAAGCGTCTGCAGAGGAGCCTCTGTCGGGGGAAACTGGGAGGAGTGAGGGGCAGCCCGGAGCCGCCCCTCGACACAGGGGACACAAGAAGGTCCGGGTCCCGAAGGAAGGGGAGGGAGAGACCGGGGAAGACCAGAGACAAGGACACGGGAAGCCATGCCCCGAAGACGAAGCAAGGAGGGGTGGCCAAGACGGTGGTGCCACAGGAGAGTCTCGTGAGACAGGCGGCGACACG